TTCCAGGGGCCGCGCCCGCACGCCCAGGCAGCTACAGGGCGGACCCGGCCCGGCCGCGTCCGCTCGGACCGGACCGGACCCTGCGCTTCAGAGCCCTGGGCAGGGGGCGCCGGCACACGCGCACGCACTTGCACACACGCTCTCTCCTCTCCCACACACGCGTCGTCGGAGCCACGGGGACGGTGGCCCCGCACAGCCTCGGCCGGTTTCCGACCCAGGGGAAGCCTCGCCCAGCGCCGCCTGCCCGGACCCCACTCCCCTCACCTGGCCCTGGCCCCTGCCCCAGAGAGATGAAACAGGCGGCGGCGGCAGCTGCTCCCGACAGGGTCCCTCAGCGGCGGTGGCTGCTTCGACCCGCAGCCCTAATCTACCGCCGCCGCCATGTTGGAGGGTGAGGTCACCCCCGGCGTGCTCCGTCACCGCCGGCGCCGGGGCGTGCGCGGCGCGCGGGGCGCCGGAAGGGGCCGGCTCGGCCACCGGAGCGGAAGCATGGACCATCGAGGCGTGGAGGTCGTCGTGCAGACGTGACGGGAAAAGCTCTTCCCAAGAGTCGTTGAAATCTATGGTCGCGGGGTTTGCGGAAGTGCCTGCTCTTGCGTCATTTCCGGTGCCTAGGCCGGTGTTTGTGGGAAGAGAGTGGCGGGCCCGGAAAGGCGGTCTCGCGGCCTGCGGCGGGTGCTGGTTGTCGAGGAAATCTGAGACAGGGTTCGCAGACACTCGTCGGGAAGATGAGCCTTGAAGGCTGGGGACGCGTTCTGGGCTGGGAGGGTGGAGGAGAGGGCCTTCCGGGCGCGGGAGTCGCCTGAGCGGGGCCGGCTTGGGCTCGCCGCACCTAGCGCGGCGCCTGGGGTTAGCGTGGGGGGCTGTTGGCCGCCCCGACTGCGAGCATCCTGCAGGCATTGACGGTCTCGGGCCGAGGGCACAGTGCGCCCGGACCGGCGGAGGCCGTGGAAGGTAGGCGGCTGTCGTCACCCGCCAGGGCACGCCGACGAACGCAGGGGTTCCTTTCAGTGACGACATGGTTTAAAATCCACCCGGGTGGGTGGCCGCACAACTTCTGAGTATGCTGAAAAACATTCCCTTGCGCATTTTAAAAGGGGAGTCCAAGCTTTTCCAAAAGAACTGGCACCGAGGCGGTGGAGTTGGGGAGAGTCGAGTCCCGGCGGCGCCGCGGGCGCTGTGCTAGGCGGGCTGGGAGACCAGGACGGCCAGGCGGCGGCTTTCACCTAATTCGGACCCCCGAGGCCTGTAATGTTAAGTGAGTGATAAAGTCATCAAAGGTTTTAGTGATATGAGAGTAAGGAAATCTACAGAAGAGCTGAAAAAAAGGAAAGCAGTTCTCTTCTGTTGAAGCGATGACAAAAGACGCGATTGTAGAGGAAGCAAAGCAAATTTTGGGTTCCTGAAAGTGCACTTTTAAAAAGCAACATGATTTATGCTAGGTCTAAATATGCCATTAAAAAGAAATTTATAGAGGGGCCGGCAGGTGGCTTGGTGGTTGGGGGTGTTGGACTACCATGTTGCCAACTGCGGTTCCAGTCCCAGGACATGGTGGCTTGCTTTCTCACTTTCCCTCACTCTTTCTCTTTCTGCCCCTTTCTTGTAAAACTAAAATAAATAAAGTAAAATAAAATATTTAAAATAAATAAAAATAAATGTACAGGTGCTAAAGACAAATGGCAAGTAAATGGCTTGGGTGATATTAACAACTGTTAGACATTTGGAGAGAAATTGGGAGGCAGTGTAGTAGTGTCACTGAAGGAAAACCAGTATAAACTGGACAGTCAAGTGCCATCTTGATCTTAAGGAGCTTCTATTTCTCTAGCTAAGTCCATTGGAATAGTGTTAGGTTTTTGGGTTTTTTCCTCCTTCTTTCCCTTTCCACTGGGTCTTTCCAACACAGTGAATGAAGGAGATAGCATTTATTTAGGTAGCCTATCAGTGAGTGCCTTCAGACTGTTTAATACTATTACTTTATGTAGAACGCAAAGAATGCCTTTTCATGATATTTTAGCCAAAACAACTGGTTATATGCATCCCTTGCAGTGACCAAATGTTAAAATGAATGTAATTGTCAATGTGAATAACTTAGGGTACTACAAGGGTAAGCTAATTGAATGCCTTGAAAGTACTACTCACTGGTCATATGGTACACTTTTCAGTGTTACAGTTGTACTTGATTGCACCTCTGTGAGGCTGGAGCATCCATGTACCTCCCCTGCCTTCACAAGGCTATTTTTGTGACATGGCAGCCCAGATAAAATACTATGCATTAAAAGCACTTTTTTTGTAGTGAGTAATTACCCAAAAGGAATGCCAATTAAGTTGTGTTAACTTTATCATTAACTTAGTACCTTTGCTCATTCTTGTTACCTCCTTTTTTTTTTTTTTTTTTTTTGGAGAGATTTTGGCTATAGGGCACGCACACTTGCTAGAGAGACAGAAAACAAGAAATCACCCCCTGGGGGGGATAGCCACACCACAATCCCTTCTCCATTCTCCTCTTGGAATCTTGGGTATGTACGCACATGGCCTGGTGTGAGTTTAAGCCACCATGTCTGGAATTCAAACCACTGTCGACCACATGGGAGTCCAGAGACATAGCCATTATGCCAACTGCTGGTCCCATCTGCATGTCTTCCTAAAAGCTATTAATGCCTTTTTGTTTTTCATTGAGTATACACTACTGAATAAGTAGAATCTTATGTTTACCATGTGAGTCTTAGAACACGAAAGTTTTTTTTGTTTTTGTTTTTTTTTTGCTATAGGGCGCATGTGTTCGCCAGACAGAGACAGAAAGCAAGAAATCACTCCCCAGGGGGGATGGCCACACCGCAATCCCTTCTCCATTCTCCTCTCGGCATCTTGGGCATGCACGCACACGCACCCGGCATGAGTCTAAGCCACTGGGTCCCGGACTCGGACTGTGGTCAACTACATGGGGAGTCCAGTAACATAGCCATTACACTAACTGCTGGTCCCAACACTAAAGAAATTTTGATTATCAGTCATAATGGCAATTTCTCTATAAAAGAGCCTTAAGTGGAACATTTGTTTCGAGGTCAAATGCCCCATCCTCACAAAAATGGCCACCTTGCAATAAAAGTAGCATAGTAAAAAAAAGAAGGGGGGGGTCTGAGTCCTTAAGGCTGTGTGACTGAAGTAGTGCCATTAATAGAGAAATACTTAATGTAATTATTAATTAGTTAATAACTAATAGAAAAATGAATACAGAAACAACAGATATTTGTCAAGGAAAGCCTTAGCTAAGAAAACTTATAGTAATTTCCTTATAGTACCTAATAACCAATATAATTTTTTTTTCAAAATCTTTTTTATTTTTTATTTTTTTTTCCAATTTATTTATTTGCATTCATTCACTGTACATCATTACAGCATACAAAATGAGATTTTTCCATCCGGAGTACACTGTATATTGTCTCAATCAAGCACATCAACAAACATGTTATTCTTAGCAAATGATCTTCCATTTCTTGTTTTCTGTATTTTTGCTTTTTTCCCCCCATCCTTGATTCCCTATCTCTTACCCTCTGCCACCTCCTGTTCTCCTCCCACACTATCTCTGGTATCTATGTTTGCTTTCTATACCATTTTCTCCCCACATTTTATTGAATCACCAAAGACCCTAATCAATCCAAATACCCTCCTAGCAAACACATGTGACATACACATTTCCATGAGCACAAGTCTAACTTTACGCATCCTATACAATTTCTAGAGCACTTTGAGAGAGGACAACATGATCATGATCAAATTCTGCAATTAAACCCAATGAGGGAGTAGACGCACCTCCAATAAGAGAGGTGTGATTATGGCACTCCCCTATGCTAAGGTATTCACAAGGAGACAGATCAACAGTTTTTTTTTTTTTTAATTCATCCTTGTCCTCCTCCTTCTCTTTCTCTTCTTCCTTCTTGTCTTCTTTTTTTTTTAATTTTTTTATTATTATCATCATAATCTTCTTTATATTACATTGGATTACATAAACTTTACAGTGTATTACATTGTTTTTTCAAAAGGGAATGCCATGCATGTCAGTCAGTACAAAGACATTAATCTCCCTGTTTCAACATTCGATATCTTTTCTGTTTTCCCCAATCATTATTTATGATTAAGTTAGCTACTTTCTCAGTTTTTGGACTCTTATTTCCATGTATCTGCGTTTAGTTTTCCTGATACAGCACATCCTTGAGAACTTCTTGGAGGTCTGGTCTGGTGCTGGTAAATTCTTTCAGGTTTTGTTTATCTGAGAATGTTCTTGTCTTTTCTTCCCACCTGAAAGATAATCTTGCCGGATACAGTATTCTTGGCTGAAACTGCTTCTCTCTTAACACTTGGAATATATTTTCCCATTCTCTCCTCGCTTTTATTGTTTCTGATGAGAGATCTGCTGTTAGCCTGATGGGATGTCCTTTGTAGGTAACTTGATGTTTTTCTCTTGCTAATCTTAGTATCTTGTCTTTGTCTGCAGTTTTGGTCAACCTGGCTATAATGTGTCTTGGAGAAGATCTTCTAGGGTTGATTCTATTTGGGGTCCGTTGTATTTCCTGGGACTGGATCTTTGAATGCCTCTCTAGGTTTGGAAAGTTTTCTTGCAGGATTTCCTGGAATAGATTATCAATGCCCTTATGGGTTTCCTCACCTTCTGGAATGCCAATTATCCGGATATTTGGACGTTTGATGGTATCCAGTACTTCTCGCATATTATTCTCAAATTTTTGTGCCATTTTCTCAGTCTTCATGGTGGATTTTTCTAGGCCAGCCATTTTCTCCTCTACATCTGAGATTCTATTTTCTGAATGATCTAGTCTGCTTTTAATGCTTTCCAGGGAGATTTTGACTTCTTGTATTATAGACTTCATCTCTAGCAGTTCGGTTTGAGTCTTTTGTAAAGTGTGTAATTCCACTTTTAGATCTTGCAGGAATTTCCTCATCTCTTGGAACTCGTCAATCTCTTTCTCCTTTCTCTTTAGTAGTTCATTATCTCTCTTCTCTTCCATCTCTGTTAGCTTAGACATTATGAATGATCTGAATTCCTTATCAGACATTTCCATGATTTTCACCGAACTGCTTGTGGATGAAGAGTTACTCTTTTCCCTAGGAGGAGAGGTATTTTCTTGTTTTCCCATGTTTCTCGTGATCCGGCGGTGATTTCTTGTCATCTGATGAATGTTGTGTTTTCTTTCAAATTCTGGAGGTTCAGCCTTAATGTTAAGGAGCAAGCAGACAGAGGTGATCCAGAATCTCTTTGCTGTTCTATTGTGCTTGCTGGTGCAGCAGATTCAGAAGATAGTGCTCTTAGATCTGTCTTGTCCTGAAGGCCCGTGGCTTCTTCTGCCTGGATGGGAGGAGCAGAGCTAACCAATATAATTTGAATGAGTTAAATAATTAAATTTTT